ATGCTTGATTTTGTTAAAAGTTAGCCAAAGAGCCAAATTAAAGAACGGTGTGCCAAGTTAGAGAGTGGAAAGTACAAGAAAACAAAAATACAGCATTCCAAACTCTTTGACGGATTTCACAATGGGGTTAAAATCCCATTCTGTCATCTTGACTTTTGTCAGGTAAAAGGTATTTCTCAAGTGTTAAGCACTGTGCTTTGAACCAAAGACAGGGTTAAAGAACATATTCATCTTCTGCTCCTAGCATGACAATTTTTATCAGGATTTCATGAGTGTGAAAATGTATATGATATGTATTCCACAGTGTGGAACAGTTGCAGAAAAGTTCATCCTATGTGCACGTGCCACATATATAATAGTTATAAGTATATAATAGTTTTGGAGGCAGCAAACATGTGGTTGAATTCCCTTAATCTGAAACCAGTCTTGCTGTAGGCACAGAATTAGACTTCCCTTCAAAATGCAAAGATCTTCCCTTGGTGCCTTAGATCTGCCTGTAGTTTTATCATTTTTAGTAATTGAACGTTAGAAAGAAGGAGAGAGAAAAGAGAAAAGAAAAGAAAAGAAAAGAAAAGAAAAGAAAAGAAAAGAAAAGAAAAGAGAAAAGAAAAAAGAAAAGAAAAGAAAAGAAAAGAAAAGAAAAGAAAAGAAAAGAAAAGAAAAGAAAAGAAAAGAAAAGAAAAGAAAAGGAGACTGGGAGGGAGGGAGGGAGGGAGGAAGAAAGAAGGAAGGAAGGAAGGAAGGAAGGAAGGAAGGAATCATATAACATAACAGATTCATCATGAAAATTTGAGTTGAACTTATTTTACGAGAAACATTGGACTTTATATTTTCAATGGAAGGCACCAAAATCATAAACAGTTCCTTTTGGAAATGTCAAATGCTAAGGCAACAGGATTCTCTAACATGATTGATCACATAAGTGTGTTTTGGTGGGACAGGCACTGTGGCTCATCCGGTTAAGCTGCTGCTTGGGAAGCCTACAGTGTCAAACGCCAGTTCTAATCCCTGCTACTCTGCTTCCAATTGGGTTTCCTGTTGGTGAATTCTGGGAGACAGCAGGGAATGGTCAAGTGCTTTGGTTACTGTCACTCTGTTGAAGACTCAGACGGAATTCTGGGTTTAGGGTTCCAAACTGACCTCACCTTGGCTATGGTGGGCATTGGAATGAAAATTTGGGGTGTGACAATCTCTTTCCCTCTTTCTCTCTCTCTCTATGTCTTCATCTCCCTCCCTGCTTTCAAGTAGATGAAAATAAATAAACATGCATTGAAAAATAAAACCGACCAGCCCCAGCTGAAGGGTGAGGATGTATCTATACCTTTAGGGGGAAAATTGCATTGGCAAATGTTTTTTAGTTATTGAGCCAACATCCAAGCATTTCTTTTTGTGTCCCTCCATATTTACTTGATTTATATTCTTCATTTGTGTATAGGGGACCAGAGGAAAAATGAAGTTCAATTACTGGGGAGAAAATTAGTAAATTTAGTAGCAAGAATCTGACAGTGTGAGTAAACAATTGAAATCATGTCAGGATCATAAAAGGTTAAAATTAATAGTAATAAGTGCTTATCTATTTTAAGCTTCCAAGGGACAAAAATTTAGATGAAATTACAGCTGACTGACTGGAAGTCAGAATTTTATTGTCTTCCCTGGCACCACCATTTCTGAATTTGTGAGTTGTATCTAATTAGGGAACAATGAGAACTTAGTTCTAACCTTTTAAAGATTTGATCAAAAATGACGTAGAACTGATTCAAAGTGTAGGTGCTGTTTTTTTCATTGAAAACAGGAAACTGTTTTCCAAGAGAAGCATTAAACCTACTTTCTGGTTTGAAATGACAGCATAGAGAATCCATCAACAAATAGACACGGGTGATGCAGGCTCATAATAAAGTGTCATCACGTTACTTTAACAAATAATTTGACCTTCTGGAATTTTGAGTGTTTTTGTCAGGGAAGGGGGAGGTACATTCTTTTGTAAGTGCGTTACTGGCAATTCATCACCATTTAAAATAAAATTTCACGATACATTATTTTAGTTCCTCTCATTTTGTGATATGGAAATAATATTGCTGTTCTGTTAAGTTAAATGTGAAAAGATTTTTTAAGAGCTGTAAGGGTCCATTACAGTAATTTGTAGTTCAATCACTTCTAATATTGTACTTGTATATGTTGATCTGTGTGTGCATAAACTGAAAACTCTTTCACTTCATAGTGATAAATGGTTCTCTTTGAAATCAAACTGGAAAAAAATAACTAGATTTATTTGATTTTTTTAAAGTAAATGTGAATGTTTACTTTATGGTAACTTAAAATGTTTCTGAAAAATTAAAACAAGAATGAATAATTTGAAATGGTATATTATAAAATCAGAAAGACAAATTAAGATATTTGAAAGCACTTATTGGGAAAATAGTTGTGCAATTTGTAGTCCAGTAAGGAATATTCTTGCTATGTACAATATTTGCATTACTAATTAGAAGAAACCTTTTGATCATGATTTGGCTATGTGAAAGCCGTCTTCTTCCTAAATATCCATAAAGGAATGTTCAAAAAGCTTTCTCATTGCAACCATAAAAATTCAAAATCAGACATGACAAAACTAAGAGAACTAAGATTCCCAGCTCCTGGTGTTCCCAAAATGCCCTCAGATTTTAGAAAGCTTTTTAGTAACAAAATTAATCTCGATCAATGTGAACCAATACATAAATCTCATTGTTCAAGAGTGTCGTCTTAATGTACTTTAATTTGTATGTGTTCTGTCGTCAAAGCTTTCTCTTCTTCCATTTTATATAGAGGATTTATGACATTATGTCTTACATACTGATCTGTTCCTGAATTATGATTCATGAAAAGTTATGCTAAATTTTCACTTACTGACATGTTGATTCATTTGCTCATTCTCTAGAAGGCCTTGCAAATGCCAGACATCGGTCGAGGCATTCTAAAATCAAGAACCCTACACAACATATATACTCAGATTTGGGATATCATGCTGCATTCTCATTGCAGTGTCCCCAACTTACAAAGGATTCAATCTAAAACAAAATCTCACCACCTTATGCATCTCAGGTCATTGCATTTCTAATTGATCAGTAACAGACCAATAGAAACAGGCATAAAAGCTATCCATAAATGTAGCAGTAGGCAGATCCTTTTTGCTACTGGTGCTTACTGGACCGCAGAGCCAGAGATATGAGAAGAGACCTATTTAACAGGTGTGCAATCAACGTCTATATTTCAGGCAGCATCCTAATTTTTCTTGCTAGAGAAAAAAAATGATATAACAGCGTATTTGCATTTGTTGAATTGCTTACAAATTCTTCAGAGTTGGTAAAATTTACAGTGACCTGCGTCTATCATTACATTCTTATAAGATTTTGTAGTCGAATGACTGATTGAGTGTGCTATGACTGTGCTACGAAAAAGGAGATTTCATTTCTGTAAGCAGCTGACTCACTGTAAAGTGCAACTTGTTTATTTCTTTGGTGTTCTGATTTGCAGCTGTCATACTTCCACCTCTAGATATTTATCCTATATCACATTGCATTTCACATCTATTGGGAAACGTGTACGTGCTTCTCTAGGGTGATGTGGTGGGGGGTTCTGACTTTGATTTTTGATTTGAGGGACCATTATGCCCTGGATAACCAGAGAAGGATTGAGCCTGTTTTCAGTAAGCATATGAGCAGGCTGCTTGCCACCTGTGGCTCAGAGGGGAAAAAAAAGAAAGTGTTAACTCAGAGTCTAAAAAAGTCCTTACAGAATTGCCTTGACTTCAGAAGATGGAAAAAGAAATAAATATTGTGCTTGTCCCGCATGAATTTACTGTGAAGAATTAATAAGATAAGGTCACCACTGCTCCAAAATCATTCACTATACTTAAGGAACAACCACTTTCCACCAAGACTTGAATTATATATTTGAACTACTCCTTTGTTTTAAAAGTGCTGTTTTTCCTATCGGAGCTGTGAACGAATGGTGACATTCTCTTAATTATTGGTCCTTTACCCTAACAATAGACACTATGAAGTGGTTTCCCAGGGACTGGAAGCATAATGAACTCAGTAGGGAGACACCCTCCAGGCTTCTGAAGTAATACATCAGACAAGACAGAAAAACTGTACTATTCATAAATTACAAGTTTCTAAACCAGAGACAGTTTAGCACTTGCTCTTCGGATGAACCTGAGCGCAAGTCATTCACCGGGTTCTTTGTGTGCTGTGAAAATGGTGGGAAATTAACAGGGAAATGGAGGCAGTGGCCTTAACCATGCCTAACAATTAGAAGAAGCAAAAACAACCCAGTTGACTGATCAATAGTTTGTTACTGCTTGGAAAACTTCTGCTGTACTAATTAATCATGAAGTTGCTCAAAGCAAATATCTCCTGTTTCCCCAGTTATTGAACTGATTTACAAGACATGGTCAAGAATGTCAGAATGTATTGTGACAGACGCTGGAGCATTTTTCATTGGGGGAATGATAGAATTACTTCTGAAATGATTTTACTTATTAAGGCTTCAAACGACTCCTAAAAACGGAGCATGCAGTGAAAGGTTTTGTTTGGGTTTCCAGATATAGGAGAACTAATATGGTGGACTTTCAAGTGCTGACCAGGTATATTTGGGGGGAAATAAGGGCTGGGGAGTTGGCTGAACTCAGGAATGAAGGAGGTCAAAATCGATGAAAGAAATGTGTAGAGACTATGTTATATGCAGAATCTTTAAAATCTAATATCATGGAAGTATTTGAACTTCACCTATGGTGGCCAGGCAGCAACAGGATTCAGCATTCAAAGCCAAGCTGTTCTAACAGCACCTGTGGCGGGACATATCATTATTTACCTGTATTGCCAGCGACTCGGATATCAAAGCCACATGTAGACTTTAAAAAAATAAAAGGATTAAGTGCAACTGTGGGGGAAAGAAACAACACTAAGAAGTAACTTTAAACAGGGAGAAAATATTTTCATTGATATGTTTTACTTTGCTGGCAGACCAGAGCAAAGGTTTTGTGAACATTTAAAAGATGAAAAAGGTGAAGAATCCCAGAAGCGGTTTATCTTGAAGCGAGATAACTCTAGTATTGATAAAGAAGACAATCAGGTTGGTTCTCAAGTTTGAGAGTGGCTGACATTGTTGTATTTGAAGGTGGGCTGACTGATGTCTTTGTCATGCCTTTGTTGTTCCTTCTGACCCTCCCAGCCTTGCTCTTCCTCTCACACTGCTGTCCTTTCCCCACCCGCCTTCTTGCCTCCCTGTGCGTCCCACTTTGGCATTCAATGGATAGCATTTAAAAAAAAAATGTCCTGGTTGCTTTAGCAATGGCTCTGTGTTGGGCTGCATGGGTGGTGCTTGGCGCAGTTTCTGCTGCATGTCTTGGGGGATTGGGGCGTTGGGATGCCACAGGCTCCGAGCTGTGGGGAAAAGCTTCGTCAGTTGCATTTGTAGATGTTTGTGTAACTATGGCAGTCGTTCCAATCCCTACAGCTTTGTCCTTCAGTTGTGCACAAATTGAGCTGGATTGTCAATACGGACCGATGAGCAACCGGTGTAGCTGTAAAGAACAAACTTTGTTATGGTGAAGACAGGTGGATTGTGCAACTATCCTAAAATAAGTCTTCACAGAAAAAAATGCAGTTCACATTTTAGCGTCCTTCTCCTCTTCCTGCCAGCATTTTCCGGTCCATGTAACTTGTCTGCTTATTTTGCATGAACTGTGGCAGAACTTTATCCTATGTATCTTCCTTGTGATAAAAAAACAAAACACCATGCTGTTCTTGAGTAGCCGTATTCGTGGCACCTTGTATGAAGGTAAAGAGACTTGGCTAAATCCCTGCTCTGGATGGAGGGTGTGTGATCCAGCATGATTAGAAAGAAAACTGCAGCAACTGCAAAAGAAAAGCTATTTTAAATGATTATAAAAACAGTAGAAAGTCAAATGCCATTGCAATTGTACTTCATGCTTCTGACAATTACAATAGCTTCTATGGCAAATGGCTTTGTTTTTAGAATTCTTCAAGGTAAGAGAATCTGCATTTCACTCAATCATCATTATAATCTCTCACAGTGAGTCACTTTGAGCAGGATGTGCATTACAGACTCACTTTAAAAAACTGTTCATTTATATCTTATTTCCCTCCACCACCTCTGCCTCTATCCCGAGCTGCACCGTGGCTCGTGTTGACGCTGCAATGTGTGCTTGGGTCCTGTACTCCGTGAAAGTCTGTTGACCAGGTGGATGGGTGTGTCTAACGCAGAATGGTTTGGAGGGTCGGCTATAGGAAGGTGGGCAGCAGGTTGGGATGCCATGGGATATAGTTCAGGTGAGAAAAGGGCAAGGAGCTGTCCTCATGCTGGCTTCTTTGAGTTGTTCTTCACTCTCTTGGTTTTGACCCTTCTCTACACAGCAGGGAAGTTAGATTCCCTCTGGCAGCCTGCAATCCAACTTTCCATGAAGATGCAATTCACCAGGTCAGGCAGTGAATGAGTCAAAAACCCAAATAAGGAGTTAGAGAAATAGCGTGCACATCTTCATTTTGTCCATCACTTCCTATGCTCCCTTGCACTTTCTCCAAAGCCTGAGTTTTCAAAGCTATTTCTGCCTCTATTCACCATAGCCAACCTTTTCCTCTTGCTATACTAGGCATTGTGCCTCCTTCTGAGCAGTCAGACGACCTATGTAGCTTAGCCAGAGACAGAGACCATCCATGGAGAGCCACTACATCACTGGGTAAACATGTGAGGCACCTTCCATGTGCTGTTGTAGGAGGCACCTGCATTGATTGCATCCTGGGAGGAAGCAAGCACACACAGCAGACACTTCCCAGCACTGCGTGTCACACACACACACACACACACACTCCACATGACAGAGTCCCTCACGCAGGCTCCATTTATTGAAGAGGACATTGATTATTCTCAGCTGACAGTTACTTAACTGTAGATTTCTGACGACTCAACTTGGATAACCATCCTGATTTCTTTTTTCTGTTTAGCAAAACAGAATGCATCCATTTAGAGATGACAGACGAAGTAAATCAATGGAAGAGAGAGAAGAGGAGTATCAGAGAGTGAGGGAGAGAATATTTGCACACGCTGTGAGTAGTTGTTTTCATTGCCTCTTTAGCGTGGTCCTTCCATCAGCAAGGAGGCAGATTTGCCCAGACAGTCAGCTGGCAGGGCATGAGACTGGCAACAGGATATAATCTGAACTGAAGCAAGCCAGGGGTGTTTCTGGAAGAGGACCTAGTTCATGGAGGTGATGGAAAACTATCGAATAACTTGGGTGTGTTCCTAGGAAATGACCAACTGATACTTGGACTTATAAGATGGGTTAGTAAAATAGACTTTGAGTATAGAGAGAAGTCATCGACTTTGAAGCAATGATTTCCCACTCCATTAGCCAGCAGATAACCAACTATTGTGTTCTTTTTAATAGTAATGACACAGAGGAGGTACATACAAGGAATCTGTTGAGCACACACACAGACCTACACAAAATATTATCTGTTCTTAGTAAATATGAACACTTCATGGTGCTTAAGTTAGATAATAACACTGCTCCTCCCCTCAAATTCAGATCAAATTAAATTTGGGAACAATTCACCAATGAAATAATTGTAGGACACTTTCTTCTGCCTGAGACTTGTCTTCACACAAAAAGAATGGGACTAAATTTTTCATCCCTCACTGACTGTTACCAAGATAAATCCAGTTAAATTAAATACAGACTTAAAGATGAAGACCATCCAGTATTAATTTAAATGCTGAAGAGCTAAAAGGACTGACACTTGCCACAGATTTCCCACTCCATGCAATCATGTGGCTGCCTCCTGGGCTGTGATAGTTTTGTCGCTCTGCAGGAAGACACACCTGAGCTCTTCTGCGAGGTGCTGCAGCCAACATTCTCAGCTTTGGTAGGTCAGATGCAGCACCCCTCCCCTCCTCTGTGATCTGCACTGAGGAGTTATAACAGCTGGTTTGGAGACCTAAGCTTCAGTGCTCCTCATGGAAGAAGTCTGCTGGCACTGGGCTTTTCAGCTAATTTCTTAGATCCTTTGCCTGGAACTGCTTGCTTTAGTTGGAATTCACAGAGCAGAGTTGATTTCCTCAAACACAAGAATTCTTTCTGTGCCCCTTCTTGAACCCACCAATGTAGAACTTTTGTGACTGAATCATCTTGCTAACAGCTCAGGAAATAGGAAGACAAAGATCACCATAGTTGGAGGTCTGGATCCAATTCGAGATGATTCTGTACATATTTCCTCTACTTTAGGATAAGGCAAAACATACAACCTGTTGCATCATGGGCCTTTAATTGTTTTTGCTGCATGCCAAAATGCAGTGTATTCCAGTCACAATATAGGAACATGTCTGCAGTAGGCTGAGACCTAACATGTTCTTGTGTAAAAACCTTCATGGGGGAAACTTTCCCAAAACGTATTCTTCATTATTCTTCATTCTCATTCTATCTCCCATTCTCTCTCTCTCTCTCTCCCCCCTCCCCCACCCATCCTCTCTCTCTCTTTTCCTTCTTTCCCTCTCTTTCTCGTGCTTACTTTCTTGCTCGCTCTAGACAGTCAAGTCATTTCTTAATGAGAAGCTAGATGGAAAAGAAATACTAATATTAGTTACATAGACAACGTGCAACCAATGTGAAGCCTTTGCTTGAAACTATGCTACATTGGTGCGAATTCAGGGGCTAGATGCCAGATCATACTGTTACTAATGTCTGCCATGAGGACACCGCCTTTCTGCCCACTTTGTTGGCTCATTGTCCTGCCCAAGGGGAAGTCCTCACCAGAATGATATAGCAGCCTGATTTCCATTGCACCCTGTCACTTCCAAATCTGTTTCAAAAGTTTAACAGTAAACCTGAGTCTTAGGTTCAAAAATTAAGGAAAGCGTTGCTGTTGTTTGAAGTCTCTATAGCTAACATGTGTACTAACAGGTTTTAAAAGTAAAATGTAGACCTGAATGGGAGAGAACTTGAAGGCAAGTTCTTCCATAGCCTTTCAACTCCATGAAATTGCTTGACAGCCTCCATTAAATGGCCATGGCTTCGTACCGCTGCATAAATAGGGGCCAGGGCTCATTAGGCTCTCCATTGGCCAGAACTTCTGACTTTCCTGAGTCAAATGTGGCACTACCTTGCATATAGCATTACTTTGCACCCTTAACCCTGGGCAGGGTTTGGGAATGGAGATGCTCCAGCGAGCATCTATGGAATAACTTCAAAAGTCAATGTCTCCACTGGTATCAACTGTAAATGTTATGTCCATGAACACGTGCACATTGTTTCCTATGGGAAGGGTCTTTGTTGTTAATTATGAAGCTGCTCTATCGCACATGTTTGCAGTCATCTAAAGACTTGCTGAAGGGTTCTCTGCCTCCAAATTCACTCTCATGAATGCTGGCAGACCTCAAAACTTCAGTAGGAACGGACCACATGGGCCTATCCATCGGCTGTTGACATGGCAACCAGCTTCCCCTGGAGAAAACAATCTAAGAAAGAGTCGAAGATGCCAGCCACCTAATGTTACCAAAGATCTGACCTCCTTGCTGCTGTGGTCTGTGGGAAACACAGACCAACCTTGGTAAAGCGTGGAGTAATTATTATTTAACTTCTGCGCATTAAACTGCCAAGGAAAAAGCAAACAGTGGTTAACGTTCTTCAATGCATGTAAGAACAAGTCTTCATTATCAATGTGCAAGGAAAGTAGACTTAAGGGAATTTTGATCTATGCACTTCTAGTTCCCCAAATGATCATTATCACTGCCCAAGAGGCTGAGGTCCATGATCATTCTTTCACAAGACGATGAGTAAAGGATATTAAGCCAATTATGAAGCAAATGAGAAGAATCCAGCATAAGGAAATGACATTACTGAAGTCTAGCGTTGATCACGTTTGTTAGCCATTCATTTATTGTCTTTACAGGTCAAAAGCTGAGGGTTAAAACTAGCTTTCTCTGGCAATTGTTAAAGTAGTAGAATTAATCAAATAGAATCAAATATTGAATTTATATCTGTATATTATCGCTTGAAGTAATGGTAGTGAGTTAAAGAATACCTCATGGTATTTATATGTTAGCAAAAGTCCAGTTTGTTTTAAAATTGGAAACAGGCTTGACTTTTTCAAGACGTAGTTTTGGTCTTTAAGGCATGTGTATGTGACTGAGTGGGTTTGCTTGCATGTGAGAACATGCATTTTGTATGCAGGCCCACAATCAATTATGCAAATTGCCTTGGGGATTTTATGGGAAAATGTGGTGCACATTTTTTGATATTGGGAGAAAATGTAGTTATTATTGGAAACCTAAATTTAGTCCAATATTGAAAAGTGTAGTTTTATGGTCATTAATATTTGAAATGCAAAGGGTTTTTCTTTTTTTTGGAAAGGATTTAAACTTCTTTTGGTGGTTAGTTGTATAGCATGTTTCTGACTTTCAAAAGCATGGGTTAATAAAGAAACACATTTGGGGGAGACATGTTTTGCCAGGACTGCATGTGCAGTGGAATTGACGGGAGCTCCCCTCTGTCTTCCCAGGAGGTGTTGGGGGACCCTTCTGCAAGAACTGATAAAGTCATGAGGTGCCACTGTGGTTGAGGGTGGGATGTGGGAGAGAATGTTATAACCCATTAGACAAAAATGATTTTCTCTTTTTTTTTTTAAAAAAAGGCAAGCCTTTTATATCTGAGAATGCATATAAGTGACAGCTATGAATGTTGCATTTAATTACTGTGACAATTTTTTCTCTGCTATTAAAATGTACAAGTTATTAATATCACTCTTCAAAGTTTATGTCAGCTACTGAATCACTTCCCTTCGCCATCTGTATCTTATTTATGAAAATGTGATGAAGGGATAGAGGCGATGGTGTTTAAAGAGTTTTCCACGTAAATCAGAAAAAAAAAACATGCAATGGAGCTTTGTTTTGGGGAAAGGTATCATCGACTTTTAATTCAAAGAGTCTGGGCTGCTTCACTTCTTCCCAAATGCTTTATTAGATTCATGAGTCTGCAGGGGTCTGTATGTCTTTGACGAGCTCCTTCATGAAAGTAGTTGCAGGAATTCCACTAGCCAGTCAGAACATTACAAACTTGGCTGACCTCTTTCCCTCCAGCAGCTGAGAAGTTGGTGTCCTGAGCTATTAGTGGCCACTTGAAACAGCTTCACCTTTCACAGACAATGGTTTGACTCAAACTGCTGGAAAAGCTAAATGAAATGCAGTCGTGAAATGCTGGAATATTGGTTGGTTACTGCTAAAAAAAATAATGCTCACAGGACTAATGTCAAGAACACATCATGCATATTTATTTTCCTTTTCATATTTAAATGTCAAAATTTCACAATATGGGTTCTGAGAAGCACCCATATTGGCTGATTCTGTACACTTGAAATTCAGGGTGAATTACAAATATAAACAGGCTAAAACAGAGATGATTTGAGAGATGCCTTCCCTGAAATGCTCAGGTCTCTGACAGTATCCTGTCTGGGTCCTGTCCTTCAATTATCCAGCAAAATGAAAACAGAATACAATATTCAGCTTGCTTCTCAGAGCAGTAGTTATGTCAACGATATCATTAAACCCAGAAATTAGATATTGAAAGATCATTAAGATTTCTTTAGTTTATTTGACCTTAAAGTCAAGTGTGTCTCAATGAACAAGTCTCTTATCCAACCATTAGGAAATGTTACCCATATAATATGATGGGTAGGTATGTATTAAAAAAAAAAAAACTAATTGCTAATACGGCATCCAAAATGCAGTCACCCTATTATATGACCAAGTAACGTCCTTTTCCTGGACTTTGTTTAAATTTCATTTCATCCACTTTCCCCCCAACACAATTTCATTTTCCTTACAAGAGAAGAAACCCATCTTGGGTTCAATTTGTGAAAAAGCTAACAAGTGTTACATGGGGCTTGTAGTTGCTCTTTTCCATTTATTTCATTTTGTCCTCACTTGTCTTTTGCCTATCCCCTCTCTAAGTCCAATGCTGGGTGACATCTCTTCCGCATTGAGAGGCTGGCAGTCCATTCTTCATTCACGGGAGTCGTTCGTCACCAGGGAAGCTTTGCAGCAAAGCTTGGAAACTTTGTGGCTTCCTGACTTTCCCATCCCTGGATGGATCTGCCTTGCGTGGCAACATTCACCCTATCTGTATTGGTGACTGTGGCTCGGGGAACTCAGAGGAAACCACAAGCTCAGATTCCCACGGTCATGTACTTGCCCCGCAGCACCACCCCCACTCCTCTTTCTTCTGACCTCCCAAGGAACAGGCTTAGTCGGCTTGCAATGTGGAGATGCCCTGGATCACTATGCTGCGTGCGAAATGCTTGTTCTTGTAACTCGACTGCGTTCTCACCTTTTTCTCATTATTTCCATTTTCTGTGTGTATTTTAGTATTTTGACTTTTAGAATCAGGTAAGGATTCGGGGTCCCTCAGGATACCCAGGTCGTCTGATCCAATGCCTTTCTTTATTTTTCAGTCAGTTTGCTCCCAGGAAAGCCTTTTTGTGGAGAGCAGGTAAAATGAACTTGACTTTTTCATGTCTGTAAAGAAATAAAATTTGTCATGTTTGTCCTGTATACTCATTGATTATATATATACATACATATATATAATAAGTGTGTTCTTGAATATATGTATAAGTCAATACATATATCTGCATGTACACATGCATACAAACATATATATTCACACATTTATGTTATTTAGCATGTCCAGAGATGATTGCATTGGGGAAAATGTTCTCTCAGTTATTTCCAATGAGAGGTTTAAACATTTTCCTTACTCAAAGTCCTCCCAAACATGTAACTCCCATAATCTTTGCCAGGCACTAAAAGGAATCCATTTTGAGATCATATGGGACCTTGCAGTTTCATCAGCTCATTGGACAGACTGCTAAAATTATTTATGTCGTTGGTGTTATTGGTTATTTGCTGTGGTCCAAGATTATATACCATACTATGTATCATAATTGGAATTGCATTATTTTGAGTGTCTTGTTCTGAACATTGGTCCTTATTTTTAAAAAGGTAACTTGAAACCCTTTCAAAACAAAAATAAAAGAAAGCAGAAATTTAAAATTGTGTCTGGGTTAGGAGTTAGTGAGGAAAGGTAACACTAAATTAAAGGATTATAAGATGCATAGAAGATCTTAAGGATATCTCATACTACGTAACAAAATTCTTTTTCAACCGTTTCAAAATTAACATAAATATTTAATGCCATTTTGATTTCATGGTTAATATTCAGGGTCAAATTAAGGAATCCTGATTAACTGCACTAATCACAATTAAGATGCTTTAAAATGGGCAAATTGGTTTGGAAAAATGATATCCAAAATAAGGTGGTGGTTCAGTTTATTTCAAGCATCCATGTTAATGTGGTACTCTACAAAATGTATTAAAATAGAATCTGATTAAATGCAAAGACTCAGGAAAATGTAAAATGAGCATTTAGAGATGATGGCTAGGAGAAAAGAAGCAGAATTTTCATCATGCGTTTTAACAATTGGAAATCTTCAAATAATTAAACTCCCTTAAAGTAATCTCTCTTAGAAGCCACCATGGAAATTAGACACAATTCCACACAAGGGATTCTGATGTAATTTCAAAACCTGTAGGGATTTAGACAGACATCCCCTAACAGGGCAAAGCTGAGAATTCATGCACGTTAGAATCTGTGGCCGATTCTGTGGCAACTGAGTATTCAGTATCTTTACTGAAAAGATTCACTGAACATTAACAACTGTGTTGAGTGTGAAAGTTTATTCTCTGATTAAAAAAAACCCAATCATTATCCTATCTTACTCTGAAATGCTCTATTTACACTTACGTGTCTTTTATATGTTACCTGGATTTTATTCAATATTATACTCATGATATTGCATGCATATACTTACACTCAAATATATTCATTATATCTGAGCAAATTTTGATGGGTCACAAAAGTAACGGGTTGACTCACCTACAGAAAAAATACATTTCTTGCATACTTCTCTCTTGATGCCCAGTATTCTAAGCACAAGAAAGAAAGAATAACTCGGAAAACGCAAGTTTTTGTCTGAAGCTCAGGTTATATCTATCTCAATTTATTTTATCCATATTTTTTCTGTTCTTTTTATTATTATTTTCCCCAACCCTTCTTTATTATTTAACATCGAGATCTTACTGTGGGCTATGGAATCTTAATATCATTACGTGACCATAAAATTATTATGGTAAAAGTCAGCATTAAAAAAAAAAGCATGGAGTGCAGATTATTAGATAAGAAAAAATGTTCTAAAATAGAATGTGCATCCATTTAACTTTAAGACACTTACCCCTTAGACCCTAAGGTTTTATATTATAAAAATCATGTTTTTCATTTCCAGTAGGCTCTTGGAGAACAGTAACATATGCAGTGAGACCTATAAGAAAAGACAGCTCTTTCGGTTGGTATGATTTCCTTTTTTCAACTGTATTTTCAGATTATGTGGCAAAAATCCTGTTAACTATACATGTAGTAGTGTAAGCTATTTTCTGTTCATGAAACAAAGCGCATGTGGTGATTTCTTTGTAAAGCTTGTCACAAAGCTGTTTTCCAATCTGATCAGATTCACAAAATACGAAACGGGAAAGCTGTTGCTTTCAATGCACTTCCTTAGTGTTCTCCTTGAGCTTTTGTTTTTCAAGGGCTAACTTGAGCAGCATACTGATTTAATATCCCCAAATCAACTTTGGTGAATTACATTGAACTAAAATTTCTCTGGCAAGTTGCAATTGCATATACATCACTCTGGAAAACAAGTCAATGATAACTCTGTTTGGATAGCTCATTTGTAAGTCACTGTCATCCATCATCAGAACTCAAACAGTGTTGTTTTCAAAGCACAGATTTTATTTCTAAGGAATGATGGGAGGTTTGTTTAAATTAGTATGAACCGCTCAAATCACGATCTATGTAAGATAAGGGGGAAGGTGGATATTCTCTTTTAGGGTTCCATGCTAAGCTGGGAACTCCACAAAAGGAAAGGGGCCATCGTCATTTTTCTCATTACGCCATTAAATGTATAAGGGTGTGTCAAACATTTCTGGGGAAATGAAATTAAAAGATAAGCTGAGTTAGGTACGAAAAAATGGAACTCTGGGCAGCAATTGTGGCACAGAAGGTCAAGCCCCTGTTGGGATACCCCCGTCCCATATTGGAGAACCAGTTAATATCTGGATACCTAGTGTCTGGTCCAGATTCCTGCTAATGTGTCTGAGTAGCAGATAGCTCAAGTGCTTGGTTGGGCATTCGTACCCCAGGGGACACTGGATGGAGTTTTTGGCTCCTAACTTCATCCTCAGCTAGCCCCTGTTCCTGAGAGCGAGCAAAAGACAGATCTCTAAGTCTCTGTCTTTTAAGTAGAAGCAAAAATAAATGTATTTTTTAAGTAGAGTTTTTTTTAATGTTGAAATTCATGTATGCTAGTGATCTTCAAAAAGTTGTGGCAGATGTGTTGTGCCAAAATAAACTTCCGTTAAGTCATTTTTATTAACAGTTTGAACCATATTTGTGTATCTAGCTTCTGTTACAGAATAGAAGATACATACTACTACACATAGAGAAATGTGTCCATATATTTAATGTATTGATTGAAATTATTGTGTTCATTTGATATGTTCATATATGGTAACTTCATTGTAAATAGTGGACTAATTTATGCTGTAGGACAGGCAAGATAACACCTTTGCCTGCTCAAAAACTGCATCTTTGCCTACTTACAAAATTACTGTGAAAACCAGAGGGATCATGTTCTTGGCAAGGTATCTTTTTGTAGTAAATGTAAATATAACAACCTGGCCTTTAGCAAAATATTCCAATTTGACAGAAAAAAAATGAAAACTCAAAATCATCTCTTTGGCCTTCCTTCACTTCTCTGAACAACATAATGTGAAATATTGCTTGTCCATTATTAGACTTTTTCTTTTTTTTGCTTTTTCACACTTGAAGATTCAAGAAAATAACCTGGCATTTTTCTCTGGAAATATCAAACATAGATTACAATGGGCCACTACTCATGCACTCACATGACAGCCTACTTTGTTCAGGCCAGTGTAGACAAAATGCATGTATTTGTCCCCATTTCCAACCCTGTTAGCCAACGTCAGATCAAGTGTCTCAAATATGATTTCCCTCTCCCGCCAAAATCAACCCAGCTTAGGAAGATGATTTAGAAAATGTAACAGAGATCCATCCATGGAATTTTAAAAACAATCCTAGGTCTACATCAGCTCTAACTTAGGGAAAAAATAGCAGTATTCAAACATGTAAAAAGGTACATGTTAGATGCTGATTGCTAATCATTCGAGAAACAGAAACTAAGAGTGGAATATGACTACGCTGGGATCAATTGCTGGTCACCTACAAGAGGACCAGCTCCAAAGACCAAGGGTCGTATTATCACTGTCATCTTGAATCCTGGTTGGACAGGACCAGACCTGGTCTTACAAGTGATGAGAAGGCACCTCTGAGTCTGTTAGAATCCCACATCCAAAAGGATATGGCATTTAGTTTGACCTTCACCTTGCCGTTGGGAAGATGCTTCAGTTAGATTTTTTTTTTTTGGGGGGGGAATCTCATTCATGCTGACTTCCTAATCTAAATTCACTTTTTTAAAATGCACAGGTGACGTGACAAAAGCTGGTAGAGGAGATGCCAGTGGTCAGGAATTCCTAGGGTGTTTTATTGAGCACAGAGTGTGACCCATGTGTAAGAGAACCCTCGTAGCTCTGAAAACTTCTCCACCATAGTGAAGGGTATAGACTGTAGCACAGATTACACCAATGAATAATGCTGGCCACCTCACTGGTCAAGACCAACTCGGCCATCCTTACATCTAAGGGTAACCTGTACCCTTCCCGTGGAGATGTGGGGGTCATGGAGAGGATGATTGAAGCAGAATTAACAATCGTCATCCTGTATCCTGAAACCAAGGAGTAGCCCATCTCCTAAAACCAATGTTTTTCTCTAACACACATTTCGAAGTAGCTACAAAATAAGAGTTTGTGATGTTCCCAGTATAATCACCACTGCTAACTAATGACTTAGCCAGATTCTGCCAAAGGTGAGTTAACACACTAAGCATCGATAAAGGAAACATGAAGCCAGATTTGGTGACAGAAAAAGAAACAATCAAAATGAAGCATCAAGCTCTTTAGGTGTTTGTTTTACTTGATTTTTTTTAAATTCACTCTACTTTCTATACTTTCTGGAGTTTCAATTAGCTTAAGAACAGTTCTCCTAGCTGTTGGTACAGGTTGGTTACATTCTACCCACAGCCTGGCTTTCAGATGACCCTTGTATCTAAAGCCAGCTCTCCCTAAGATCCTGAGAATAGACATAATGTAAGAAAAGCCTGCACAGAGTGCAGCAGTGAGCAGCCGGCTGTGTCTTTTTCATCACGTGTTCTTCATCAAATGTGCTTTTGGTTTTGTGAATTTTTTTTTTTTTTGCTCCACTTCTTCCCCTGGCTTTAAAAAGATTTATTTTTTTTTAAGACTAGCTACCACATTTGTATTATCTTTTGGATCAATTTACCTTATTAAGTTTTCCTGAAAGAAGTAAAAACACTTAGCAAGCCAATTGCAGCAAAATCAAAAATTTTCTTTGTACCTCTAAACAATTGGGTTGGTTAGTGTTTGAATCAGATATATATTTCTAGTAATAATTCAGCTAAACATTATGGTCTTTGGAGGCCTACTTTTCAACAGAACTACTGGACACATCCATGAAATTTAAATTAATAGTTCAGTAGGTCACATGGCATATTGATCAGAAATTAGGGGGTGTATCTATTTTCCTATGATTTGTGTCCCACTGACTTACAGGATAATTCTGTGTTGTGTGCCCAGGAAAATATAGATTAGATATAGATACAAATACAGACACACATAAATATAAATCACATGGGTACAGGTACATGGAGATATAGCTGAATCTGTAAGAAATAAAAAAGAACTCATTGGTTGGAGTTACTTTTAGGAGTATTTAATATCTTAATTACTTCTAGACAGTAAGCATTGCTGATTTGGATCAGATTGTAATCTTGTACACTGACTGCAAGAGAAGTTCACAATAGTATTTTAAAAAGTTCCTATGCCCATTTCTCCTTCAATGGCAGAGGGGCCATTTGACATTCCTAGGTTTGTTTTTTCTGTCTGTAACGTGTGTTTCATGTAATGTGTTGTCTGTTTCATCACTATTTTGGAGGTCACTGTTTAATGGAAAGGGTCTGGTGGGTCTGGTGTGGATACCTCTTGCACAAAAGGCCCCACTGTCCCCTCCTGCACTGCTCATTACACGTAACGCATCCCTGTGTCTCTTTTTTCCCTGGTCATGATCTAGGGGCAACAGAGATGGCTCAGGGAGAGCATCTGGGAGTCGGCAGAGCAGCTCGGAGAACGAACTGAAGTGGTCTGATCATCAGAGGGCCTGGAGCAGCACAGATTCTGACAGTTCCAACCGCAATCTGAAGCCTGCCATGACCAAGACAGCTAGTTTTGGTGGCATTACGGTGCTGGCTCGGGGCGACAGCACATCCAGTAGCAGGAGTATCGGGAAGCTGTCCAAAGCAGGTAGTTAGTACTGAACAGGTTTATGTCCTGTGGCATTTCTGGATCCTTTGCTAGCCATATGAAACATCATTTCTTCTGAGCTAACTAACAGATATAGCTGAGATGTCAAAAACTGTACTAAGCCTTCATTTTCCTTATCTTTAATACAAGGCTAAAGCAGGATGTAGCTACACTCTCCTTCAGTAGACTTGAAATTTGCTTTCTTTAAATTTACCCAGTCAATGAAATTTAAGGGGAGATTAGATAATTTATATGAAAATGATTTTCTTGGATTCTGCACATGTTAATTGCTTATAATAATTAGCCATGTCTTTGTGTAGATGTTTTTATTGATGTAGTCCTTCTGGAAAGTAGCTGAAGTGTTAATATTGCAGTGGTGTTGGTTTTTGCATTGATGTACTGTTTGTGTGATAATAGGCATGCTGTTTAACCTAGGTTTGCTTCAGACTTATCACTCCACAAATGGGAATTATAGTTTGGGTATTGCAGAGCTATTGTGAGGATTAAGAATCAATAGACCTAAAGCAATACAAATAATGACGGCGAAGCGATCAGCGTCCGTCAATACCAGTTCTTACTCAATTTTACTACTGCCATTTAATGTTTTCATCACTGGTTTGCATGTAAGGAGTTCAAGTCTCTAAGAGGTTTCATTTCCAAGGTGCTAAACAGATAGCTTTTTCTCCCCACACTGTTTAACATGATATTTTAAGCAAAGTGATTCATGTCTTAATGAACAAACAGTAGGAAGTAAATGCTGACAGCAGATCTAACCCTCTGAACTTGACAAGAACTTTGATCTGGTGAAACCATGATATTGTCACACTTACATGAATCTACACAATCAGTTTTTCTCCAACATTTTAAACGTTCATGATTTAATCACTCATAACTCCCAGAAAAATGACAAATGGTCAGGCACTCCATGGACTCAGTTTGTGGTTGTAGAATGTACCTGGGTTTGTTTTTGCTTTGTCTCAAATAATGTCAGACTCCCCAGTTCTTGCTAGGGGAATGAATTGGGAGCTGTGATTCAGTGACATGTCCTTGGTCCCAAGATGTACTAAGAGAACATTCCTATGCCTGGGGTAATAGATTGGAAGGAGGCCCAAAGAGAATGGGACAGGATGGCAAATGGAGAATCCTAGATAGAGATCAGATGGGAAAATCTGGGTCTATTTTGATGACGGTCTAACATAATCATGTTGTTAACAAACATCTCCTAAGAAATTATCTTATGCTGTTTTAAGAAGACAACAGCATTTAGCTAGAGAGATAGAATGATAGGATGGATGGATGGATAGAGCAATAGATAAATGGTAGATGGATACACCTGCACTGCTTCTGAAACAGATTTAGACACATTCATGCTGTTTCCCTAGTAAATTTCATTCAGCAGCCAGTAAGTTCCTGCTTTCTTGCGCTAATTAATTGCTATCATGTCCCATTATTGCAGCAGCTGAAGATGAGAAAATCCATTGTGGAACACTTGAGGTCTTGTAAACTAAGAAAGGTTAAATAGTTTTAAATCTCCTCGAACTGCAGAAACCAAGTACCTTAAATGGTGTACTTAAAAATTCCAGCACACCAAAAGAGCTCTTAAGATTTTGAAATTAATCATCATTTTCTATGCACCAACCCCAAATCATTTCCAAAAGCAAAGCTCTTTGGAAACATTTAAAACACTTCAAGAATGCTAAAATACCATGTTCTTTGAAGAGTGATTAAAGATTGTAAGTACTTCAGGTTTTTTTTTTTTCTTTAATATGTCTCCATTTGAGAGCTTGTCAAGGTGCAGACGTAGGAGGGAGAAAAAAAAAACCAAAGATCAAAACAGGCTTCCAATTTCCCAAAATGGTTTTATGAAGTAAAGCTGTCAGTTCCACTGTCAGAGTGCTTCAAAACAGCACAGCCCTCCTGTTTTCACCTCCTGGCTCACAGTGGAATTGCAAACTCTTCTTTGACCTTTTAGAAACCAAGTCTGAGGCCATGACATTTAAGTTACTCTTCTCCTCCCCTAACTACACAGCTTCTAGCTTGAAATAGATCATAATGAAACTTTTCCTATTTGAGAAACATGTTTTCCGACATTTTTGCGAAGGGGGAGGGAGGCCCATTGCTAAATTTGGAGCACCCACACACACTGTCTACTGGCTGCCCAGCTCAGGCGCTGTCACGCCTCCTTGGAAAGGGCGCTGGAGTGCCACCTGTACTTGATAACTGTGTTGTGGTTGAGAAACAAGCGTATGACATCCGTTTCTAGCTCCATTGGTCCAAGTTCACTGTTTTACTGTCTTCCATCCTCAGCTGACCTCCAGAGTAGGCAATTATCCACTTTAGCTGCATCAACTCCACATGAAGAGCCTGGCAAATAAACAGTGTTAGAGCTTTAGCCCCACGAGGGCCGAGTCAGCATGTCTGGGACAGAATCTGTGAATCGGCATGTTTGATTTCTCAGGAGATCCTGACGCCACTGCTCTAGGCAGCACCCTTTAAAAACAGCTGGTCTGAGGAAATAAGATGCACTTTGTCGAGTTCTTTATTTTTTATAGATATGAAAGAACATATTTTGTGTATGTCACAGATATAGAAGCTAACAATATTTCTCCCCCTCCCTCAATCTCCTCCTTCCTTCCTTCTCATTCTTTGATTTTCACAACGACATGCTTTCAATCCACTCTGCAATCACAGCATTAATTCACCACTAACCCTAATATTCAAGGAGCAAGAAAGCGGGAAGACCACAGTTGTATAGGAATGTAAACAGGGGGTAACTTCTAAGAAAGCTGTATGATCTGTGTGCTTTCTATCTGCAAGATTATTCTTGCTGTCTTCATATTTCTTCTCCATATCTTGGAATGTTTGTTTAATTCATTGTAAGATACATCTCATTTTATCATCACTTTCTCTTCTTGTTTGTTTTCATTATTACACTAAAAACTTCTGAATATTCTTCACTTTGTAGCGTGTGAGGCTTTGAGTTATTCTGCTAAACTGTCAACTTCTTGAGTCTGAGATACTTTTCTTGAATTATGAATGATCAAAAAGTAGAAACTTTATGGCTCAGGGCTAAATCACCCATTATTCATATACTTGGGTCCTTAAAGAAACCATCACTTTGCCTGGAGACTTACAAAACAGTGTATGAGTGTATGTCCTGAAGAAAACACAGCCAGCAGTGTCAGAACTAAAAGGCTGAAGACCCTCTTCCGTGGAAAGTGTTCCCACACTTAACACAGCTAGCAGAGTCAGAACTAGAAACAAAAACCACTGAAAACCCTTCCTCCTTGGCAAGTGTTCTCTCAAATCCCAGGGACTCTGCCCAAGTCCTTCTCTTTTAGTCCTGTCTCCCTTCTGGGTTTCCAAGTTTCACTTCCTCATTTCTTCTTCATTTTCCTGTGTCTCTTACCACGTCATCGGGTCATCATTCTCTCCTTTCTCCTTCTCCCAGCTGTCACGTAGGGCATAGCATCCATTGTCACTGGCACTGAATTTTTGTCCTATATCTCTCTTGTTTTTTTAAAGATTTATTTTTATTATTTTTTTCATTGGAAAGGCGGATATACAGAGAGGAGAGACAGAGAGGAAGATCTTCCGTCCGATGATTCACTCCCCAAGTGAGCGCAACGGGTCGATACTATGCCGATCCAAAGCCAGGAGCCTCTTCCGGGTCTCCCACGCGGGCGCAGGTTCCCAAAGCCTTGGGCCGTCCTCGACTGCTTTCCCAGGCCACAGGCAGGGAGCTGGAAGGGAAGCGGGGCTGCTGGGATTAGAACCGCGCCCATATGGGATCCCGGGCGTGCAAGGCGAGGACCTTTAACCACTTGCGCCACCGCACCGGGCCCGTCCTATATCTCTTAAAATCATCCACAGACCCGGGCAGGGCCCTGAGCCAGCTGGTTTGCTTTTGATTGACAAGGAGATAAACGTAGAGCCTGTAGGCTCGCAGCATGGTCCCCACTGTGGATTTGCTGTGTTTAGATTCACACTCTACCACACACTAAGCGAGCTTTACGAAATGCATTTCACCTAGCTGATGATCAGTTATCATTTTCAAAATGAGGTTGACTTGAAAAGAAGTTTAGGCAGCTCATGGAGAGTGATTAGCACAGGGTTTAAAACAAAGGACACAGTGTTTAATCACTTGTCTTGGCTAGCATAGAGTCTTAAAAAGGAAACCAGAAATGTTTTTATGATTAGCACCCCAATGTCTGAGGTTTCTAAATATCAATCTCAATTTTAAAAAGTAAATGCTTCTAATGCTTGCTTTTATCACTGCAGCTAACATCCATTTTGAAGCTGAAACAGTTTTAACATAAAATTAGTGGGTTCATATTGTATTTTAAATTTTCATAAGACTAAATTGTTTTAAATGTTTCATGCTTCAAGCTCTCCAAGTTTTACATATTGGTTTAATGAATCCAAAATGTTATTATTTCCAACAAATCCAAGGTTAATTAACTGAAAACGCAATTAGAGCTATAGTTTGGAAGTTTGGGTCATGTGGAATTGTAAGTTGTGCTACAATTATTACTTCAAAGTTCTTGCCTACATTTTCAAGATTTTATAAAACAAGTTAATTGGCAGGTCATCTTTGTTCATTGAGCAATTTCTAGGCTGAAAGAAAATGATACAAATGTAATTACGAAATATAGGTTTATTTTACTCTTACTCCAGATTTTGTTTTCAGCATCTGTTTTTACTGAATATTTCAACAGTGCCAGCCAAGTATAGATGGACGCTTATAAGCCAGACTACATTGGTGATGATCCCACAGCGCCATTTGTTAAGACTTTGCAACATGTTGATGGCTGAGCACACCTCCAAGCAGGCTTCTCCTTGTCTGTCTCTGAGAGTGTGGGAGCTTAAGAAACATGCATTTTTCTTTCCCTCTTTTACCTATGATTAATATCGCCTCTTCCGAGTTCTTGTGGTTCTGGCCACTTTCCCATGTAGGTGTTAAAAAGCAGTGAGATTGCTAATCTGTGATTAGCGGCCATATCTCAAAAGCCAAAATTGAATCACTCTGGATTTGATCACAGAGCCCCAGTCCTCATCACACTCATTTTTCTTTAAAGATTCATTTTTACTTTTAATTGAAAGGGACCTTTACAGAGAGAAGAGTCAGAGAGAAAGATCTTCCTCTTGCAGGTCATTCCTCAAATGGCTGCAATAGCTACAGCTGAGCTGATCCCAAGCCAGGAGCCAGGAGACTTCTCCAGGTCTCCCACAGGGATGCAGAATTCCAAGGACCTAGGCTGTCTTCTGCTGCTTTCCCAGTAGAAAAATAGGGAGCTGGATGGGATGTGGATCAGCCGAGTAATGAACCGGCACCCATATGGGATGTTGGGCACTTGCAGATGAAGGATTAGACTGTTGAGTCACCATGCCAACCCCAAACACACCCATTTTGTTAGTAGACCACACCATAAATCAGGGTTGGGACAAACTTGTTGAATCTCAGCTCTTTGTCACTATCTAGATGTTCACTCTATGAAGCTGAATCAGTTTTGCATGACCTAAGCATCTAGGTTCAGGAGGCTTTGCGATTGATTCTGCTCTGACACCAAATATGAGAGCCTCACTTCACACGGGATACACCCATGGACATGGTCTACATTCTTCTGGGTTGTCACCACAGTTTCAGAGCCATGGTTTCACCAGTAGGGTCTCAAATGTCCTCGATATTTTCAAGATGCCTTCTTACATCCTTTGTGTTATTCAAAAACTCCCATCTGCATTTTAAACCATTTTTGATGGAGCAATAACTGTGTTATTCACTTGTCATGGGAAAAGCAGATGACATGCGCAACTGAGAACACTGGTGACAAGATTGTGTCTGGACCTGTGCATATTCATGTGGCAGCCTGAGGTCAGGGTTAAATCGTGAACTCTAATCCCATCTGTCTAGATCACTCCCTAGCTCTGCAATCACCTAGCTAGCAGAGCTAGCTTGGTTAATCTAATTTCCTTATACTTTAGTTTCCTTATCTATAGAAGCAAAACTACTAGGTAATCATTTAAACATTTTTTCAACTTACAGTGTTTCCACATGCCAAGTGCTCAATAAATATTATTCTTTCCCCCAAAAATCATCACATTCTCTGTTTGACCACCTTCGTTGCATTGTATTCCTATCACTTATTTAGAGAGATCTATGATTTAAGAGCACATGTTTAATCTTAAAAAGAAAATTAACTATCACTTACATACTTTAAACATCAGCGGTAAAGAGTCATACTTTTTAACAACATGCCTCAATAGTTATGAGTGAATAGTTTCATCTTTATATTGTCCAAAATCCCAGCAACCCAAAGTATCACTCCAATCCTCTATTACTTTGAATTTGCTTGGTAGGTTTTCTTTTGGTGCTCTGGTGAGCACCTGTCACCTAGAAGAGGCAAAAGATGCTAGTGCTGTTGCATCCTGCTTCAGTGAAAAGCAGAGAATGCCTAAAACAGACACGGGCTATGGCAGATGCTTCTCTCTGACCAAGGTGTACGGAAGAGGAAGAGAGATGTTTAGGGATGATTCCAGCTAGATAATTGGGTTCCCTGACTCAGTTTCCACAGTCTCTAATCACCGATACCCTCCCCTCCGTAAGTTTACTCTCCTGCCTCATCTGAAGGATGGATCACTTACTATTTAAATAGAACCTTCCTTGGTCCTTCTATCAGGTTCTTTATCTATACCGGATCTAACACAATGTCTTAAGTACTTAAACATGTTAATAAGATTGTCAACACTTTCTTCCATCTGTTTCTCCCATGGTTTGACTACACCTCGATGTTGGTTGGTTGCTTGTCTCCTATATTTTCTGTGTTTTGTTTAAAACCAGTAATACTGAAAGTTTGTATCATTTCACCTTCAAGCAAAATGAAACTGATATTCAATGGTTTAAAGTTGTTTCTACTCTGACACTGAGAAAGAGTTAGGGTTCTGATTCAGTGTGCCTCCCTGTCTTTCAATCCAACACACTGACTCTTAAGCCATGCCTCTGTTTGAACGAGACCCCACTTGATTTTGAAATGTGTCCACTGCTATACACTGTGCTCCCGATAGGAATAATCCAGTTTTTCTCCACACAGCTGGAAGGAAAAGATGAACATTCTAGCTAGCCTCTCTGCAAACCAATATTTAGAGCCATGCATATCATCAGATTCCTTCTTAAGCTTCAGCTCTTAACCTCTACCCAAGTCACTTTATGCTATCATTCCAGCTCAGTAGCGCATTGCCATGGCACTAATTACACAAGAATGTGGAAGATTCCGGGCACTGAGTTCAGGGCTTTAGGATACCATTCATTGATGTGTCACCCTAGTGGTACCGTGAAAAACCTGAAAGCGAGGGAGCTTCTTACCCTCTCTTTTCCAAGGACATTGACACAGCTGAGAAAATATATAACATGATTTCAGTAAAATGTGATTCCAAAATAAGAGAGGAGTGGCCTCAATTCTGCAGCACACACCTCGAATATCTCAGGATGGGTAACAGCAGAGAAGTAAGCATTTAGGCGCAGATCTGTTCTCTGTCTCCTCCCTGCATTAACGATTTGCTCATTTGCATCCCTGTGCCAGGTTCAGAGTCTTCCAGCAGCGCAGGCTCTTCAGGATCGCTGTCCCGTACCCACCCACCTCTCCAGAACACACCGCTGGTCTCGGGCGTGGCAGCCGGTTCTCCCAGCTGTGTGTCCTATGCTGAGAATGGAATGGGAGGTCAAGTGGCTCCCAGCAGCACCAGCTACATCCTCCTTCCACTGGAAGCTGCAACAGGCATCCCACCTGGGAGCATCCTTCTTAATCCACACACAGGTTAGTTACTTTCTTTTCAGGGACACAGCTTATTAAAAGTTTATTCTTGTGTTTAGTTTTAATAAATTCAGTGGCAAACGTTCTGGATATTCCTGTAAGAAGAGAGCTGGAAGCATGAATTGCAGGGAGGCAGCTTTGTTTAGGAAGAGCAGATGTACAGCTATACCTGTTTTCCAGTCAATATAATATGGATACTTCCCAAAAACATCTACTCTGCCTTCTCCTGCCCAAGTGTCTCTCACTCATTTCTAGGATCTGAAGTCAGAGACAGCAGTGTGCTGAGCTGAGAAACACTAATAAAACATTTGGGTGACTCAGATTAAAACCCTGATGAGCTTGCATTTTTGTCAGAAGCGTTTTTATTACAATCAATGATATTTCAGGAAATTGAGATATTGATGGGAACATATAGTGGATTCTTAATTATAAAAGTTGTTTTTTCACTTGAGGATTTTTTTACCCAGCTCCTGCAACAGGGTAAGATAGCAGGAAGAACGGGTGATAGAGAGCCAGTTTTCATGTGTTTTAGAAATACTAGCTCTAGGTTGATTTTTGGCATTATTTCATCAGGATTCCCGGATGAATGTGGTGCTTTGAGTTTCATTTCTTCAGTGCATCAAATTCTAGATCATTGATTCCCAAGGACCTAAGGCATAAAGTTTTGGGTATTAGCAAATACATTGAGAAAGTTCTACATTGTACGTAAAATTTCTCAACCAGGGGCAGGTTTTCACATGTCCCCAAGATCATTTGGCAATTTCTGCAGGCATTTTAGTTGTTGTTTTCTTTTGAAGATGCATTAGTTTTCATTTGAGAGACAGGGGAAAAGGTGGCTGCTACTGGCATCTAACAGGTGGGAGCCACAAAGGCCAATTAGCATGCCGCAGTTTCTCAAGGCAGCCCTCACAACACAGTGTCATGGCACCCAAAGCATAGGCTGTGCCCTCACTAAGGAGGCCTGGTTTAGGAAGTCGGGCTAGAAGCAATCACTATGGAGAGATGGGTGTGGAGGGGGAGGGTGGATGGGAAGGAATGGAATTATCTTGAAATCTATACCAGACATGTGTTAGTTCATCCCAGAGCATTTCTGCAATTGGCTAAGCTTAAAAATGCAAAGCTGGAGAGCAGCTCATAAAAGTGATTCAATTCAATTGTCTCACACTGATAGTTCCACTAGTAATAAAGAACTTGGGAGACACAAGAGAACCACCGTGAAATAGTTACTTGAATAATTGTCACACTTTCATCTAACATTTGGCACATTCTCAAGGTCTGGTGTCTGAGACATTTTGAAAATATCATAAGGAAGACATGATCATTTTATAGAAGACCATTTAGAAGCTTTGGGGTAGATACTTCAAAGGAGAATTTTTGGATTCTTTTTATTTTGTTTGGATCATTCTAAACACTCGACAAGAAACTTAAAGGCTACCCTGGGTACCGATCGAAGTTTAATCTGAGTCTGTTGGCTTAGCTGCCCTCACTTTTAATTGAGATGGAGAGCTTACAGGGGAGAACACACACCAAGGATTTTTGAGCAGTGCATTTGAAAGCAAAATTAGTGGCTCAACAAGCTCAACAAAATATCTAGGGCAGAATGCAATAATATTATTGATAATGATAGTATAATTTTGTGTGTGTGTGTTTATCATCATCCATAATCTTGTTTATAGAAGAAAGAAATGAAACCATGCCTGCTGCCAACTTCAGTTCTTATTCATTGGCCAGAGTCATTGAGAGCTATTACCAAAATATATCTTTCGAAATAGAATCCAGCTAAGGAAATGGAGCTGATGGCACTGCTGGACACACGTGTCTCATCTGAAAACCGCTGCACATGGAAATACCCTAAGACCAAAAGCAAAATTATCAAGGCGTTGTATGCTATGACTGATTGGCAAGGTGGATGTTGAAATAGGGTGTTTCTTCCATTTTTAGGATTATTTATTTTTGCAAATTGAAAAATTCCCTATGTATGATTATATGGTATAAATAATATGCATGCATGTATGTGTATTTATGATGATCTTTATTGACCTCTGTCTTGAAAAATTAACCTCTTTGGGACTGAAATTTATCTTCTTTCTCTTCTATTTCTGTGAATTGCCTAGAAACCACATGGGTCACCATTTCCTAAATTCTTTTATCCCAATACGCAGCAAGCATATTTTGGTGATACAGTTTCAGAGTATGTAACTATTTTGCTGCTCGTGGGAACTGCCCTCGGATTCATCTCACCACTACTCATTGCTACATCATCACCGGCACATTTATGAGCCCCTTGTACAAATGACCTAGGCAAAGCTCTTTCATTGTATTTATTGCTTCTTGAGAACGGATAGCAGAGTAGTAGTCCTGAGCAAGTACTCAGTACTTAAGCATTATTGAAATAATATCAGCTACCTTTTATATATTAATGGCACACCTGAGAGTGTGTTTCAGATATAAAACGAAGACTGCGGAAAAAACACCTTAAGCGAAAATAAGCAATGACTTCAAAATACCAATGTGTCTACAAGTCATGTGTTAATGAAACTGAAGTCAAAGTTTATTTGCTAAAACAGCTGACCCCATGTTATTAAGGAGCAAATATATTTGTGAATCTAGCAACATCCACCTGTATTCCTGCTGCTCTGCCAGCATAACCACAATGCTAATTTCCTCTGCCCATAGACTTGGCCCTCAGCAGATCCACTGTAACTGGAGACCTCCGGCCTGCTCTTTCTTTACTTGGCCAGCATGTGGATGGATGCGTCACACTGGAACCTCTTCCTTAATGCACTATCTAGATAGAATCTTTTTCTCTGCGAGACAATTCCTGGCTGTTGGACTTCCTCCCCACTGGCTCTCCTGGAGCTGGCCTCCTTTGGGAGTTTGTAGCAGAAAGCTCCAATTCTTTGGGTTGTTTTCTCTCAACACGGGGCAATGTAGAGATGCCAACAGGCTGTGGTGTCTTTCAAGGATCTCATGCCCACAGAGTTTAGGCTGCTGTTTTCCTTTGCACTTATCTGCAAATGCGTGAGCGCTGTATGAGAGGGCAGTCCTTTTGTGGGAACCTCACATTCACAAACAGTTTAGAGCTTTGCTCAATCAAAAAGTCCCAATAGGCTTCCATAATGCTATTCTTTTAGTTTGGACTAAAATATTTAGAACCAGTTTATCCGAACTACTTCCATCTTTTTTTTTTTTATGTAACATGAAATCGTCTTATGCTGACTATAAATGTATCTTTATTAGGACTGAGCTCAACCTTGCCCATCCAGCCATTACAATGCCACAGCCCAAAGCCCAAATGTTATGTCAAGAACATTGCAGAAATGATTTCCTGTTAGGAATCATGAATCTTCTGTGCCCTTGACTTCTCTTCCTTTCTGCTAGCACATTTCTGAGCTTTTTTGGATGGGCTGTTATTTAGTTGTTTTCATCCATTTATTTGTGTATGTAGTTTCACTTATTTTTCTTTGTTTTGCTTCCCTGGAATGAATAGCAAGGTACAGGTACAGATACTCATAAATGACACGTTATCGACATACGATCTTACACTCACTTTACGTGTGGATGTGGATTGTAGAGTGTTTTTAACCCCAAATTTATATCCTGGAGAGAAAAGAGCAGGCTGCTTTTAGTGTCTCTCTGCCCCCCACTCTGAGCTGAAAGGAAGCTCGCTTTTTTGCTGTCACTGCACATTTTTACCAGTACTGACACACACAGGGTAAAGCCGGCTGGGCATGCATGTGCCATTGCTAACGTGAAAACCTCATCTTGGACCAGCCCCATATCTTCAACAGCTGCCATTCAAACTAATTGCTTATTCAACCCTAATTACATCTGGTTTGGGAGAAATCATAGGATATAAAGATGATGTGATTACCTGACTTGAAAACCAATATTTACCTCTGCCAGATCTCTTAGAAAAATTGCTTTTGCTCCTTCTTTAGTACCACCTTACTTGTTTCATATGTCACAGAGTTTCCCTACCTTTCCTCAGTGAATGTAAAATCAATCTCTCATTCCTTCTTCTTTTTCCATAAGAGCCTACTTCTGTGACTATTGGAGTACTCTCTCGCTGCATTTTTTAGAAGCCTCAATTTCTTCCAGTGTAGAGTCCATTAATCACGTTTCAAATTGAGACTCTAGAATTTTCCACAAGGACACCTAAATATTGGGGTGTTATGATTCTGTTTCACATTTTATCAGTCCTCGCTAGGGAAAAGTGAAAGTCATGTAAGAAGCAATGACTTTCTTTCTTTACGCTCATTATTGTGTGTGTGTGTGTGCGCATGTGTGTGTGTGCATGTGTATGTGTGTGTATGTGTGTGTGTGTGCACGTGTGCGTAGGCACAAAGCCAGATTGTTTTGAAAGAATTTCAGATGAAATTACATACTTGTTGCTTTTCAAACATTTTTTAAAAGCTTCACTGCCTAAAATTTCTCTCTTCTTTTTCTAAAATAAAAAATGACCAAAAACGGAAAACTGAAGGATGAGAACACTGGATATGTTGATAGATTTTTGAAGCTTGAAGGTTCGTATGGATTTGGAGGGAAAATGTGGACTTGAGACTTTGAATCCAGAAGGAAGTTGCATTTTTAAAAAAGGACAAAAAATATTTAAAATGATAAAATATAACAATACAAGCATCAAGGGCATGAAGAATATTGAAAAAAAAAAGACACTAGACTTAATCATTATTCTGGGCCTGTCACTTTATGCTGTGACGATCACATTTGCTTTGCCCCCATAGAAAACCACTAATACCCAGGAAATTTATAGGAACATCTTTAATTTAGGCAAGTATCTTCATGCACAGACAATTTCTTTCTTTTTTTTTTAGAAAAGATTTATTTCTAGTTAAAAGGCAGATTTTAAAGAGAGAAGAAGAGACAAAGAGAAAGTTCTTCCATGCACTGGTTCACTCCCCAAATGGCCACGATGGCTGGATCTGAGCCAATCCTAAGCAAGTGTCCCAGACGCTGCTTCCAGGTCTCTCACATGGGTACAGGGTGCCAAGGACCCAGGATATCATCTACTGGTTTCCCAGGCTGTAAGCAGAATGCTGCATGGAAAGTAGAGCAGCTGGAACGCAAAGTGGCATCCACATTGGATGCTGGCGACACAGGTTGAGGGATTAGCCTGGTGAGCCACCATACTGACCTCAGCACTGACAATTTCTTGTCATATCCACATCAATCTATTCGCATTCAGAAACTGTGGTAAGAGGGGCACATGCTGTGTCTAACATTAAGATGCCTTCATCCTGTATTGAAGTACCTGAGTTTGATTCCCAGCTCTAGATCCTAACTTCAAATTCTTACTAGCTCAGAGCTAGGAGGGCGGTTAGGTGGCTCAAGTGGTTGGCTTCCTGCCACTCGTGTTAGAGACTTGAATTGTGTTCCTAACTGCTGACCTGAGACTCTGCCATTACAGACAGTTAAGGTTAGTCTGCCCATCTCTTTATATGAAATTTTGTTTGGTTTCACTACAGCCTCAGTGTTTGCCTCCAAACAGTGTACCATTTTGCTTCCTTAATTTAATGGATTGAGATATAAAATATATGATGGTGTGCACAGCCTGCACATAAAGAAAGAGAAAACCCTCAAGAAAGTTTTGCTTGTGGGAACACCTATCTAAACATCACCCAGAATGAGACATACACTTAATAATTATTCCATGACTCTCATGTTGGGATCAACCCCCACCTCCAAAAGTACTCCTGTTATGACTTCTGTTGCAGTTGATTGTTTTGGCTGCTTTTGTATGCAGTAAATGGGATCATGTAAAAGACATCTTTCCATGACTAGTGCTGTTTAGCTAGCATACAGGAGTTAATTTGTTTAGCTCCTATTTGACAGCAGTCTATTCTTGTATGGATACTATATGCTGTTTTGTTCACTAAAATATTCTGTTCCCTTTGAGTCTGCTTTACCATTTTTTTAATCTTTGTACTACTTGCTTTTTATTTCTATTTTATCTCATGAAATGGATGAGTTTTACTTTTTACATGTGACATTTCAACAAGGCTGAGTTTTCTCTGCCCTCCTGTGCTTTTTATCCCGAGACTGCTCAGGCAAGCTCTGCGTATCAGTATGGATAAATGACTCTTGGTATGTGCTTGGAAAGAACGCAGTGCATGGGCTGCTCCATCTCCTTAATGCCGAGAGAAGGAAGCTCCCCCTTAGAAATGTGAGGGCCCTGGTGCTCCCAGACATTTCCCTTGGGTTTCTGGAGACCATCTATGTGACTTTAGCTCATGGACAATCTTACTTTCCAATAGAGTTGCAAGAACTAGGGGAAAGGACTCAAAAGTGGTGCACACGCTGCCCCTAGCCATTTCCCCGTGTTCTGATCCTTCTCTTTCATTGTCTGCTGATGCCAAGGACAAGTGCACCTTGAAGCATGCCCTACCCACACCCTGCCTTCACATTCATTGAATCGTAGTTTTCAGTGATGCATATCATTTTCATGATACGTCGCTTTACCATGTCCTCCTTCTGAGCAACTGTGGAGTCCACGAAGTTATTTGGTGTACTAGAAAGTGAAAGGTCTTTGCAATGTTATAGATCAGAGTGAGTTCTTGATTCTCTCACTGTTTTTTGGCTGTTGTTTAGCTCATACCCCGGAATATGTTGTTTGGTCTCTCTGAGCCCTAATTTTGCATTCTCTATGGTGAAATGAGATTACAAAGCTCTCTGAGTGTTACTGAAACAGCTAAGGGCATGTGTGTGAAGTACCTGTTTGCTCTGCCTCTACTGTGCTCCCTCATTTCCTGCCCTTTCCACTCCCCTCCTTTCAGCTCCTTATTCCTAGCACCTTTCTGTTGAACTTCTATTTCCTTGTCTAAACACAAAAGGGGACAGTAGGTAACTTTCTTCCTTCCTGAATCATGATGAGACTTAAATGATGCTATTTTGAAGATGATGAAATACCCCATCATCTCTAAGATAACAATGCTATTAGCAACAGCAGCAACAGAGCAGCAGGAATGGTGGTGAGCCCTTCTGTTAATTCGTAAGACAAAAGAATGTGTATCTGCTTCTCTATTGTAAGGCCATTCTGCGATGAGTTTACCAAGCTTGAAACTCATGGTAGCCCATCTGTGTACACAAGGGATGTGCTTGTGCTCTGTTGGATGTGTTTTCGTGAAGCTGGTCATGGTTCTCAATTGGTGAAAAGGCAGAAGCAAAGCAAACACAACGATAAATATCTTGAGGTTGAATGTACCTGGAGGTGTGTGACTGGGAAGCAGCCATCACCCATTAGTGCATGTCATTCTCTGAGTTCTTGAAAGTATAGGGCAGCACAGTATATGGGTTTCAAAGCTGGCCCTTTCACAGGGCTCTCGGCTGGGCAGCATTGGCTGCAGATACAGTCAGCATCAGCAAAATTTGCTCAAGGTGGTGATTTCATCTGCTGCACTTTAAATCGTGTGAGTTGGTGTTGTTTCGTAGCACTCACAAATGAGAGTGGTGAAAATCCCAGCATCCTGGAATCCCAAGGCTTTGCCCCATGACTCAGGGTTGCTCTCTGGAAAAAACCTTCCACCCAAGAAGAGACTGAGGTGCTCATCTTGCCCGCAACTTGTGATTCCTTTGCAGGCCAGCCTTTTGTGAACCCTGATGGGACTCCTGCTATTTACAACCCGCCTGCCAGCCAACAGCCTTTGCGGGGCACAATCGTGGGACAGCCCCCACAGCAGCCCCAGCAGCAGGCCTCACCTCAGCCTCCACAACAGGTCCAGACACCACAGCCGCCACTGGCAGGGGCCCTGGTCACTCAGGTAAAGGCAAGTTGAAAGATGGGAAGACGGGAAGACGGGGAGGGAAGGGTTCTGGGGTGAAGGCTGCATGGTCTTCAGAGCAGCCATCGCAGGGTGCAGCGGTGCCAAACCCATCTCCTCAAGCTTCCTAAAATAAAACTTAGCAGCCTGAGTTCTTCGGTGAAAGGATACAGTCTGGAGCCCGAGGTGGGGTCCTTGATCCCATGATATAATCCAGGTGCTTAAGTGGAAGTAGAGATGGGTGCTTCATCCAGTGACTTGTAGAGTGGGAGCATCATCCTAGAGAATAAATATACCATCTTAGGGGATAAAGTGAATCTGCTTGTTTTCACTAATATCTAGTTTTATGTGTTCTGTATCAGGGCTCCTCTGTTTTAGAGACCGAACTTGTAATCCCATATAGGTCCTTGCACTGTCTTGCTCAGTCATTCCCATCCTATACCAAATGCTCATATCCCCAAAGAGTCAATATAGAAGCCTTCTTCAGTAAGAGGAGCAGACCTAAGTCGGTGCCAGGGAGAACTGGGTTTTCATCCCAGCTCCACTTGGAGAGAGGCAGAGCTGCCTCCCGTGCTAAGCAGATGTGCAGACGCACCCACAGAACCCGGAAAGGTCCTCAGGAGGCCCCGGAGCTTTTGGCTTTCCTCATTCTGTCTTCAGACAATATTTTTATACCCAGAGGATCTAGCCATTGCCAACATTAAGCAGATTAGTATTCTCTTAAAAGAGCATCTGCCGTGTGTAGGTAAGCCTCCTTTCTGCTGTGTTGTCCACTACAGTGCCTGAACGTTTTGTTGGCGGTGGATGCCCCTGTCTGACAGGTCTGTGTGGACAGTGGCACGCTTCCTGTGGGATTTCAACCTCAGTGCTTTCCATGATCTAATTAGTGTATTTTGTTTCTTCCAGTCTGTCCAGGGACTGCAGGCTTCCTCCCAGTCAGTGCAATATCCGGCTGTCTCTTTTCCTCCCCAGCATCTCCTCCCTGTGTCTGCAACACAGCACTTCTCCATGGTACTGTATTACGTGTGGATAACTTTCCCTCCTGCAATGACATAGTCACTAGTTTTGCTCCTTTTCCTGTACGGCAGCAGCTAGTGCTGGCTGGGTAACCTCGGCTGACTGTCAAGTGAGACGATGGACCCATCTCTGCAAAATAAGGCTTCGTTCCCCATTCACTGCCTTGTCCATGTTGAATGCATCTGCACTCTGGTACCCTTATAAGGTCATGCACGGCTGAGGCATACAAAAAACCCTCAGGACAAGGCAGGAATAGAGAGACACAGATGAAGTGTGGGGATCTGAGAAATATCTCAAGGTCAGAGTCAGGCTGGTAGCTCTCACCACTCTGGGCTCCTGATAGAAGTGTTCCCAGAGGCCCCTGCTCCAAGCATGTGCTTGTATTCACCACTCCTCAATGTATGAGCACCTTTTGAAAAGCAGTTGAAAGAATGAGCTAGGCCAGTGTTGCATCAGTTCTGGCTCCCTCTCCATGACACGGATGCACGGCATCCAGCACAGGTGCTTCCACCTCTCTTTAAAGGTAGGTCTGATGATGGCAGCCAGGAAGCTCAGCTGCCTATTCCAGACAGAACACAAGGCTCTCAACAGAGCAAATCATTACCTTTTTGCATTGAAGAGGGAGGTTTGGGGGCTGGTATCGTGGCACAGCTGATCACACCAACACCTGTGGCACCTGCCTCTCATTTCAAAAGGACAGTTGTAGTCCAGGCTGCTCCAGTTTCATCCAGCTCCCTGCCAATGCACCAGAGAAAACAAAAGGGCATGTTGAAGTTCTTGGACCCCTGCCATGCATACAAGAGATGCGATAGAGCTCCAGGTGCCTAGCTTCAGCCTGGCCCGACACCAGCTGTTGTAGCCATTTGGGGAGTGAGCCAGCAGATAATAGCCTCTCTCTTTCTACTTTTCAAATAAACAGAATACTTTTTTAAAAGATTTCTTTTGCTTTTGTTGGAAAGCCAGATATACCAGAGGGAGATACAGAAAGAACCTCTGTCCACTGGTTCACTCCCCCCAAGCAGCCACATCTGCCGGAACTGAGCCAATCTGAAGCCAGGAGCCTGGAACTTCTTCTGGATCTCCCATGAGGGTACAGAAACCCAAGGCTTTGGGCTATCCTCAACTGGAGCTGGATGAGAAGTGGGGCTGCCAGGATTAGAACCGGCACCCCTATGGGATCCTGGCACATGCCAGGTGAGGACTTAGCCACTAGGCCACGGCGCCAGGCCCAGAATGCATATTTTTAACAAGAGGGGTTATTTGGATTGAATTGTTTCCTGTTGGTAATTCAAACCTTCACGTGTGCTCTTATTCTGATCATCATTGCATTTTCCCCCAGTTTTACACGTTCCCTCTCCCACAGCTACAAGTTCACGTCCTATATCCGTCTCCTTGTGTCTCTCTTATCATCACACTGACCCAGATGATGTCTTTATTCTCATGGTTTGCAGAGAGATGACGTGGCGACCCAGTTCAACCAGATGAACCTGAGCCGGCAGTCCTCAGGAGAGACTCCGGAGCCCCCACAGGGTCCTGTCTACCCATCCTCCCTCGTGCCACAACCAGCCCAGCAGCCCAGCTACATCCTTGCCTCTGCAAGCCAGCAGCTCCCTTCAGGGGGATGCACAGGCTCTGGTCCTCCCATCTCCCAGCAAGTGCTCCAACCCCCACCCTCCCCGCAGGGATTTGTGCAACAGCCTCCATCTGCACAGGTAGGTGTGTTTTGCTCACAGCTATGACTCACAGCTGATGGATGGTTTGTTTTGACCTTCATCTCTTCCTGTACACTATTCACAAGACCAACCTGATTTGTCTTCTGGTCAATATTGGTATTTCCCCTCCAATAGAGCTTCTTTTATGCTTTTGTTTGGTCGGGCAGTCTTTGGCTCAGAAAGCTGGATGAAACTTGCCCTTTGCCCACTGTGCAACAGAGAACTATCCCACTTTCCAAGCCGCTGGTCCAGAGGACCTAAGGAAGCAGACCCTTCTGTGGGATGCATATGCACAGGTTTTCCCAGAAGCAGAAAGCTTTCAGAAGGAGGAAGCCTTGTGCCTACAGGCCTGTGCCCTCCCTTGTCGCAGCTGCACAAATGCACGTATGTTTCCACCGTGTTTCTTATCAATTCACAAGCGTCTTCTGGAGCTAATCTAGTGCTCCAGGCAGGAGCTCCTCCATGAATATAAAGGAGGAAGGTAAGTTGGTACCCACTGTCCTCTCCTCTCCCCAGGGAGATGCAGAGCTCGTGTCTGCACTCTCAGGTAGCCATTCATCATATTTAATTGACTTGAGCATGTAAGACACCACAGATCACTGGTTTTTACTGTCTTCTCAGACTGATTATGTGCTACTGTTCACCACTGAGCATCTCAGCTGCTCTCCTGGGCATCCCTTGTAGAATATGGAAAGTGATTACTGTCAAGATGTAAAATGCACACAGACCTTTTCTGGCCCATTTTCAAGGCACACATCTCCCAAGCAAATTCTATCCTAATTATGAAGTCTGGCACTGGACGAGAGGCTTAAAGTGCAGCATCCCCTCTGGGTCATTTGTCTCACTGCCTTTAACATCGTGAATAAATTATTTTCTTTTCAAGTCACACAAAACCCTCCACCATGAAATGACTTCCACTCAGTTGTTCGTTGGATTTCAAGTGATTCATTCATAGTTCATCTTCCACTGTCTTCCTAACACTATCTCTTCCCTAGCAGCATTTAAAGAAATGTATAAAAGTAGCTTGAAGCCACAGGGGGAAGGATTTTGTTAATATGTTAATGATTAGATGAGCAAATTAAGCTCTTTATGTTTAATGACTGATGAAACATGGCTTAGCTCTTTGAGTCTAACTGGCATCTAAGAGCCCTTATCCATTTCTGTTTCCCAAGAGAAGAGTCAACACAATGTTTAATATTTTTTAATTAAAAAAAAAATGTTTGAAGCAGTTCTCTGATGGAGGAATTTCACAGTGTCCTGCACAAAGGAAATTCAGAGCACCCCCAACTGTCTATAGGAGAAACATTTCTATTTCTTTTCCATTGGATTTTTAAGATATAAAAGGAAGGTGTGGCTCACCATCAGTCTGGACTTTGTCCGATTTAATGACACATAAGGTGTAGGATACACTCCGTAGTGACTTTCACCTTAATAAATGTTGAAAAGAAGTCTGATTACCTGACTACACAAATGGAAAGAACTCAGTTGAGATTAAGCCCATACACATATGTGGGTATGTGATACATGCCTGCGGAAGGAGGAACCAGCTTGAGCAGTTCTGCTGTGTGTGCATTCCAAATGCCCACCGGATGGCTGGCATGTCACTGCAAGGGAAAGAGTGAGCTGAAGAGGAGAAATGGAAGACGTGCTTGTTGTTAAAGTTTCCTGTTGCTTTCTGATTTATTTACGTCTTCTCCTCATCAGAACATTTTTGGACACTCCACATCTTCGAGGGATTGTAAATACGTCACTGCTTCATTTGGGGTTGTCCCGTCTCCTTTTTCCCTCCAAATTTTGCATACGAATCCAAAAAAAAAAAAAAAAGATTTCTGTGAGCCTGGGTTGCCTTCCTTCTTCTCAGGGTGGGTGAGAATAGACAAGTGACTACTTGATTTCTGTGGCTGGAGGCCATCATTTCTAAGAGGTGGCCAAGGCTGCGCTTCGGAGAGCTACTGAGATAAAAGCCTTTAGCTCTCTAAAACAGCTTGTCAAAGTGCCAAAAGGAGGGAGATCTGGAAGGAAAAAATAAAAACTATCAAATGAACACTTCTTGACTGTTTTACACATAGCTGTTCTTTTATCAAGCCAAGTGTGATCATGAGGAAGCGTCCAAGTGTTTGAACTCCAGTTGTCTGCCCTTAAGGTGTTGCTGTTTCATGTGGAAAGTAAGAGCGAAGAGTAAGGAATCAATGCAACATTTTTTTAACTTAGACTTAATCAAGACAGTCTTTCCTAAGGTAGCAAAATACTATCGTTCCTGAAAGACATGTAAATATAATGCTGATGAATGAATTTGACATTGGCTTTTCTCATTCTCAATATTGAAGGCATCTGGTGGAGAACGATAGAGCCACAATTAGCTGCAGTATAAATGAAACATAACTCCAGAATCACTTGGGTCTTCAGACATAGAAAATTACTTGAGATTTTTAACACTTACCCTATTAAAAAGCAAGGGAAATTACTATAGACAATGTATATTACATGCTAGCTGCTTGATGCTGACCCATGGTTGAATGAAACTCGCTCACCCATCCTCTTTCCCATAAATATCAATATTACTAGGTGATCAACATTATAGCCTTGAATGATCAAATGGGATCCATACAGATTCAGTTACCCTTTGTTCCTGCTTTGTCCTACAACAGAACATTCTTTTATGTATATTTCAATACTAAGACTGAAATAGAAAATGGTTTCCTATTTAATGCCAACAAATCAGAAAACAAAATAGCCACAAAAACCTTATGATGTTATTTTATGTCTATAACTCTCGTAGGCTTTTAAATAAGGTACCTCTTTTCTTTCAAAGAAGAGAGAAGAAACAATGAATTCGTAATATAGCTTTTATATAAATGAAATGGGCAAAAAATATAGTCCTTCCAGATCAAGAAACTTTTGACTTGACTGGATCTGAGATACTTAGGATGCTTTCAGTTACAGAAAGTTGCAGAGGGCAGGATGTGGTGCGGAGGGTTAAGCCCTCACCATGCCCTCTTGGTTTGTCGAAGTGCCGGGGGAGTCCTGGCTGCCCTATTGCTGATGCAGTTTCCTGATAATGTCTCCTGGGAGGCAGCAGATGGTGGCGCAAATACTCAGGTCCCTGTAATTCACCAGGGTGTTCCAGTGTGCTGGCCTCTCCTTGCCTTGACTATTGTGGCCATTTAGGTGCCAGAACCCTGCTCCTTTTTAGTGTTTCTGTTTTGAAAAAGGAAAGTTACAGGGCATGGTGACATGAGCAATAGGGCTGGCCCTTCCCCTGATTTGGTTGAACCTAAATTTTGTATACTACCTGCTTGCCAATCACAGAAAAGAATTCTGAGAGAGTTTAAATCAGCTGTTGTCCTGACTAGGTTAGGTATTAAGGCAGAGCTCACGACAGCTGGCTCCGCTCTGCTCCATATGGTATTGGCTGGGGCTGTGCTGACATGTCTGAAATGAGAGGAGAGGCTTGTCAAATTGAGTCCCCTTGGTTTGCAGGAGGCCTCTCTCCCCAGCAGATTCACTAGACTTCCTCCTCCTGGCTAGACTCCCCTTCTACAGGAAGTCTGCTAAAGATCAGGTTTGCAAGTCTCTGAGCTGGCTTCTATCTCGTTGCATTCACTGGTCAAAGCAAGCCTTGGAAATGGCTCAGATTCAAGGGTTAGGTGTGTTTCATTTCACTCCAGGAGAAGTAACAGGACATACATGTTGTCTTACAAGCAATTCTGAAGGGCCTTCATTCTAATCAATGCAATCATACGGCATCATAAAGTGACAGTGCATTGTGGATGAAAAAGTGTTCCTGACCATGCAGTTCTCATGCCCTGCTTTGTCTCCCATCTGCCACAGATGCCTGTCTACTATTATTCATCTGGTCAGTACCCTACCTCAACCACACAGCAGTACCGGCCCATGGCCTCAGTACAGTACAGCGCTCAGAGAAGTCAACAGATGCCACAGGCAGCACAGCAAGCAGGTACTTGGATTCTATTCAACATTTTCTCTCCTAACCCCGTGATTTTGCTGGCTAGGACTGCAGCTGTACTCTTTGGATGGCCTCCCACACTTGGCAATTGAAAAATGAATTTCTTTTCCCGTTCACAAAGTAGCTGAAAAAGCATTTGGCTAACCCTACAGGGAAAATTGATCAGTGCAAGAAAGTGAAGGGCGCATCTATCTACTCACGCGTGTGCATGCCATGCTCAGGTGCAAAAACAACAGCGGGGTCTCTTATGGTATTTGAAAACAAGAAGTATGCCATGCCCCCGTCTCCCTAGTTCCTATGTTTCCCCTTTTTCTGTTTAATAAAAGAACATACCCTGTTCAAATGTCTAGAAAACCAGATTGGGTTGTTTTAATACTATCTTTAAAAAAAAAGGCTCCCAACAATGCAGCATGTATCATGGTATGGAATTCTGACTTCCTGGTTCACTCTCTCCATGGCCACCTGCCTCCTGCCCAGAGCCCGGCAGCCACTGTGCAGTGGGAAGGGGGGCCGATACACTGTACGAGAGTGAGTAGCAGGTCTCACAGTGAACCGGTCTCTTTCCCTACTGTGTCACACTCCTAACGGAATGCCATGACCCAGAGAGCAGCAGGAGCCCAGCAGAGTGAGGTGTGCTAGGGAGAACTGGTGTCCTTCCTGCTGACCAGACTGCAGGAAAAGCTGCTAATTGTCATGCCGAAGACGCCTGCCTGCCTGCCTGCCTGCCTGCCTGCCTGCCGTAAGTAGGTCGTGCTACAGCACACATGCTCCCTGCTGCTGCTCAGCAATGCCCCCTTGGTGTGTGACTTTGGCACTGAATCTGTAAATGCATAGGTAATGTGTACTGCTTATATGTAGATCCGTAATACAGAGCTGCAATGTGTCATTTGTATGGGGGGAAGGAAAAGCAGAGTGCTTGCAACAGATTAGCCATGACGAGCACCTTAAAATGCAACATGGGGCCACTTTGGAGACAGAATGAAATTCTTCAGAGCTGTGGAAGTCTGTATGTTCTTTAGTTCACCTCGTGAGCTATATGAAAACTGTGTGAAAGAACTGGAGGCGCTGATGACCCCCGATTACTTCCAGCTGCATTTTGTGTTGTTACATGCAAGGTTGTAATACTTTAGGGAAGAATACACCTGACCTCTTAATGCCTTTATGCTTGTGCAGCAGTAAGAGCCCAAAAGAGTCACAAATTAATAGTCAAGAGAAGCATTTGCCAATAGTTTCTCTGGTTTTTGGAACACGTTTTTCCCCCTCCATCATAGCAGTGATAACTGTGCTAGCGGTTCAGACACATATTACAGTGATGTGTTGCCTTCCTACTGAGCTGTCTCTCGTTTGCTTCTGTTATTGTGTATTAAAAGAAGTCATGGGTGGCACGTCCCAGATCTTGACTCAGAGGCTGTGAAGTTTTCCTTTTGGTTCACAATGACTTTAGAAGAAGGAAGATAACACATACCTAATGATCACGATTTTCTTGTTGCTTAATTTCGTGCTGTTATGCGGTAATTCTCTGAAAAGGGATTTTAGGCTTCCAGTAAGAGTGTGGTCAAACAAAAGAAGGTAGTTACAGATGTGCCACAACCTGCTGAACCAGTATCCTGTGGATGTGTGTGAGGGCTGAGGAAGCTAGATCCTGTCATGGACAACGGAGTCAGTTTAGGACAACCACGTTATTTCTCCCTACTAGAAGCTTCACTGACAATGATGGTCTTGGTGGGGGCGGGGGGGGATGCCTATAGAATGTTGATTCTTTCCTAAAGCATGATGGGAGAATTTAGGGATGATAAAATCCCCTGTTGCATCCCACAGAAGCCTAATTGTGAGTGCAGCTATACCCCGTGGCCGTCTACTGGCTTTGGCACGTCTTGTGATTTACGCATCACCATTCGCAAGTGAAATCATGGCTCTATGATGAGTTGCAGGAGCCTAAAGGCAGCTCTGAGCACAAGATAGAAGAAGCCAGGTCCGTGCTTTAGGTATTAGGGCAATGGGAAGGCGAGGAGAGTGAAAGGAAACGGAAACAGTGGTTTTCCAAGAAGTGACCACCTCTATGCTGACCTAGCCCTTGGAGGTCTAGATTCTGTGACTACTAAGCCTGGGAGCTGGCCTCAAATCACAGTGCTGAATGTACCAGATATCTGGGGGGGTGGATGGTGTCCCCTGATCTGAGCGAATCACCTCTGCTGATAGAACCCGGATAACTCTGATGACAGGACAGAGGCTGTGGGTTCCTTGGCTCTGAAGCACCCAAAGGGCCGTGCCAGAGCATGGTGGAGGCAGGTCTGTGTCAATGGGTTCCCTGCAGAGGGAACAGCCTCATGAGATGAACTAGAAAAAAATTTTTAAAAATGAAGGTCCCAAAATAACATCAGTAATTATACCCACGGAAGGCTGAGGATGGATTATGGGCTAGGGGTGGTACTAAGTGTTTGCAAGCTTTGTTTAAGCCCACCACAGATTTACATGGGAGATATTACTGTACATGACTTATGGACAAAAGAAATTCTTGCTCACGTGGGTGAAATAAATTACCTCTATGTCTCAGGACTTGACCAAGTTGAAGAATCACCCAATCTGGTCTGGTGTTAAGCCTGTGTGCTGACCACATTTTAGGAGCAGTATAAACATGGTGACTAGTGTCACCTTTATTGACTAGCCTAATCAATTAAAAAAAAAAAAACCTAGTCTTTAGTACCTAAGCCAGCATGGCTGTGTTACAGACACAGGATGTGTTCTGCTTGTCATTCAGTTACAGTTTGATTAAAGCAGAAGAAACCTGGCTTTTAATTGCTGACTCAGCAAAATGTTCCTACTAGATCATTTTGGGAAGCTGATCAATAACCAGATTCACTGAGACATGTCAATACTCAATCACATATCAGAAAGAAAGGGAAAAAAAAACTTCTTTGATAGTGTTCCCAACTCCGTGTTTCCGTCCTATTTTGATTTGAAAGGAATTACATGTAACTTCATTTTTGATTCCCCCAAATTGTGAATGTGTCATGAAAGCAACAAAAATTAACTTAAAAAGTGTTATACAGTTGTATAAAAAGGCATTTGGGGGAAAAAAAATCTAGGCTCAGTATTATCATCACAATAATAATATTTTTATTGACTAAATGCTCGCTTCTATTTCTTTATGGGTCTAGAACTAGCCAGATGATCTTCATCCTTTTTGAGTGTTGATGGTTTTTGACCCAGTTCTTGTAAGTTCTTGAATTTCATAGAAATGTAAATCTGACAGTGACATACTTTTTCTAAAGTTTTCAGAATATGTTAGGTTATTTCCTTGCTGGGCTGGCTTTGTTTCTGTTTTTGTTTGCTTGTTTGATTTGTTTTGTTTTGTTTTGTTTATTTCCATACCTGTCTAAATTTGTAAATTTTAATAACTCGCTCTTTGTTTCATTGATTTTTTTCTCATTGTTTAATATTTTAATCTCATTGATTTTTTTTCTATTTTTATGGTCCCTTTGCTTACTTAAGATTTGTTTTGGTCTTTTTTGTTGTTTTTTGCTAGTTTTGTCTTTTTGTAGTTCCCAAGCTACATTGCTGAGTTGAGGCTTTTCCTTTTTTAAAATGAGAACATTTAGCACTATAAATTTCTTTTTCAGCCTTACTTTCGCTGCATTCCATGTATTTTGATATGTCATAGTGTTATTTCCTTTCACTTGTGTGTTTTATTTTCCTTGTAACTTTCTCTCTGAATCCTAGATTGCCAAAGGTGTGTTGTTTCGCACGTTCATGTTTGGAGATTTTTCTTTTGCCTTTCTGCTGTTGATTCTAGATGGATTCCTTGGTAGTTACGTAACACATTCTGATGATCTCAGTCCTTACGGAGTGGCCCAGATGGCTTCATGGCGCAGGATATGATCTGTCTTAGGGAATGCTCCATGAACACTTTCTGAAAACTAGGTATGCTGCTGCCCCGGCGGGGAGTGCTCTGTACACATCATATGATTCTTTGGGGGATATTTTGTCACTTGAATCTTCTCTTCTTTTACCAATTTTCTACCTAATTGTTCACTTGACTGCTAAGGCATTTTTGCTTATAATGCCAACTAGAAGACTGTCTGAAGACCTGAAATGAGTATTTGTTCCTGAACCCCAGGGATGGAGGATTCATTTGGAACTCATACAGAGCATGTTATCATTTGGCTCTTACCCTCAGGAATACGGAAAGTCACAGCTTGCAAGAGGTTAGGAACATTCTGCAAAGAGGAGTTGCAAGGTTAAAGGCCCTCTGAACAGTGAGGTTCGGATGAACGCGCCCTAGGAGACATGCCGTTATGTCACACGTGCTTCCTTTCAGTGATGGCATGTTAGGATGCGGAAGAAGAGAGATGCCTGCTGAAAACAGACAGCTCTGCCTTCCTGCAGCGACAGGGGAGTCTGGGTTTCTGAGTGCCATGAAAATAGGACAGTGAAGGAAATCTGTCTGCATCGGAAATAGAAAAAAAGAAACGCAGAGTTGAGAGAGCCTCCAATTAGGTTATAATTGTTGCAGACCACGAAGTGCAGAATCAGAAAGCTCTGGAGCTGCTTCTCCCCAGGGCTTTATAAAAATCCCTTTCCTATTCCAACTTCCCGCATTCCCAGGTATCTACTGAATGATTCGTTTGGGGAAGGGGGAGAAGAGTTTGATAGAGCATTTTCCATACAAAAAAAATATGGTCTACTTTTCAAATTACATTTTAGACAGAAACCATGAAAAACAAATCTTAAAAATGCATCAAAATGCAAAACTGCAAGCAGCTTTCTGGGGTAGGGAGGGGAGTGTTTTCCTTGGCCTATTTTATGTACATCCTTGCTATATTTTTTTTCTCGAGTCTCTATGTTGAGAAAAAGATGCTGCACCCTGGCTTGTGATATTGCAATTAGAATACTTTGCAGATTACAATTGTGGGGAATCTTCAGTTATTCTGTCTTCTGTCCCTTCAGCGTTCCCTTACTCTCTGTCTAACAGACCTCACAAGATGACTCGC